TACTGTTGAGGAGATAAAATCCAGTGATGTTTCAGATGGAAAAATTGCAGCAAGTAGTTGAGTTTATGACCACTGTTTGTGTGCAGATTCTAGTGATAAGATTAGTGTTCCGTATTTTCCAATTGGAAGGTTGGCGGGTTTGCTGATTTTTGACTGCAATAGCGAGCTGACATGATATATTGGAGTCAATAAATTGCCGGTCCCAATTCTTTATCTATTAATCTATCATTTAATAAATGCATATGATTTTGTTTTAGTGGATAGTAGGCATAGATGCAATTTAGGGGTATGATATAGCGTTACATAGAATAAATTTGTAATTGTTAAGCTTAATTGCATTTAAATACCCTATAGTTGCCCTTACTTTGCGCTTATATGTCCTCACTTGTATTTCGCAGCACTTATGTACTAAAACTGCCAATTATATACCCTCATTGTTTTTGTAGCACTAATATACCCAAAAGTAGTTTTTAAAACTTGCACTTGAATAATCTAAATTTTTTAAAACTTGCACTTAAGTGCCCTCAGTTTACTTAAATACCCTTAATTATGCAAACTTAGAGGGTATTTATGTGTAAGATTTAAAAATTTTAGGGTATTTAAAAACAACTTTTAAAACTTTTATGGTATATAAGTGCTCCCATAAACAAATGAAGGTATACAAGTGGAAGTTTTAAAATTTTAGGGTATATAGGACAAGTGAGGGTATATAAGTTCAACATAGCTGAAACTATAGGGTATTTAAGTGCAATTAAGCCTAATTGTAACAAATATTAGGGTTATTTGCACTTTGGTATGCTAAAGTTTACATCATTTTTAACTTTTATACCTTATAGATTTTTTCGATACTTTGAATCTTTGATACGACAATGTTTACATTTAAAAAAAAACTTTGGTACCCCAACATTTCTCCCGATCACACTAATAAACCCAAAGTTTCACTTTTTGATCTTTGAGACCCTAAAGTTTTGTTTTAATTTTGATACCCCAATTTTGTAGGGGTATCAAAGTTAAAAATCTGGGTTTACTGGGGTGTCAAAGTTAAAAATGATGTAAACTGTGGAATATGAAAGTGTCGTAAAGAAACTTTGGGTATCAAAGTCAAGAAAGATATAAACTTTGGAATATCAAGGTATCAAGTAAAAACTTTGAGATATCAAAGTTGAAGATGTAAAATTTAGGGGTACCAAAGTGCAATAATCCTAGATACTATGATCATTTATAATTGAGAAATTGACTCTATAGAAAACTGATCGTTGGAAAGAATCAACTTCACTTTTATGGTTAAGTTGCACTTAAATGCCCTATATTTTTTAGCAACCTTGCACCTAAGTGACTTATTTTAAAACCAAGCAAATAAATACCCCAAATTATTTAAATATTACAGATAAATACCCTCAAGTTCCAAAATGTTACGCTTTGATGTTCTTCTATTTACCTAATGCCGCACGTTAGTGCCTTCTTGTTTGCTTAATATTACATATAAATACCCTAATTTTGTAAATAGTCTCACTTAAATACCTTAAAAAGTTTCTAAAATTTGCATTTTAGTACCCCTTTGTTATGCAATATTCTTGGATATGCAGAGAAACATTAACGCCATCTGCGTTTTTTTAACTTTGGGTTATTTATCTGCAATATTCTTGGATATGGGGAGAAATGTAATTCACCATATGTAATTAACAACTAATCCAACCACATGCAATTTAGACATAATAACTAAAAAAATAGGAGTAATTTGAACTAAAGAATAAGATTTCAGGTACCTCATAGCAATTTCTACGAATGAGGGGCGACTAAAATTGGAGATTTTAGAGACCAATTTGGATTTGGAACAAATGGATGTGGTAAGATATGTCCTTTACCCGACTCGAACCCGACCCATGTGTAGCCAAAATGGAGACGGCGGCCTCTTCTCTGTCAAAACCTTCATCTCTTTTTTGAGTTCTCTGAGGATCCTGGAAACCCTAGGCAATGGAGGAAGCAATCGCTAAAGCAGACAAAGAGGTAAAAATTCCATCCATAAAAGTGTTTTGACTTTATTTTAGTGGTCCACGTTTTTTCCCACATTTTTTATTCCCACATTTTCATTTTAAAATATTTATCTTTAGTTTATTTAATGGTCTATTTGGATGGAGGGTAGAGAAGGGAAGGGGAAGGGAAATTTTGGTTTACTTTTATTTGTGAGTTCTATTTATAAAGGTAGAGGAGAGAAATGAGGGAGAAAAGTGAACTAAAATTTTACCCTCCAAATTGGAGGGTAAAGAAGAGGAAGGGAAGGAAGGAAAAAAATTCTCTTCCTTTCCTTCCCTTATTCATCTCCCAAACACAACATAAAAGATAATTAAATTTTAATAATATTAAGTGCTAAATTCCTATTGGTCAGTTGAGAAGAAATTATCAAATAACCGCTCATGTTGATGGAACGTGGAGATAAAAGAAATTTTATTTAAGACTTGGTCCTCTCTTTACCCATAATAAGAAGATATAGTTTTCTCTTCATCAAGAAAACACGTAGAATCAAGAGGGCTAAGAGAGAAATTCAAGTCTTCATCACAGTTTTTCTTGTAGTCAATTTCTCATCAAGATTCCTAATCATGGATCAATGTATGCTCTCTTAATTAATTGTTCTTTGTGAAAATCAATCTTGTTCTAAGATCTTGGTATTATGATGATCAATCAAAATTAAGTCTGATTTGCTTAAATTAAGATTTAGGTTTACAAAAAGTTCACTACTCGTCTGCGGAAGTTTTGATTTGAATACGAAATCTCGAATATCATGCTTAGGTTCTTGCTGAGGTTGTCAAATTCTCTCAAAAAGGATGGACTAAAAGGATCTAAAGGAGGGTGGAAAGAATTTTTGGAGTCTCATGGCAAGAAATTTGGCGCTGGGTTAAGCGATCCGGCGAGAAGGTCTGCAGATGTGTTGATTGGGTTTCTGCAAACTTTCACTAAAAAAGATTGCGGGGTACTTGAATTTTTGTATCTTGTTCATGAATTATTTGGTAGATTACTGTGTTAACCTTTGTTTTGTTGTTACATTTGTCACTGTTTTAAAAAACCTCCGCCTACTCCGCTTAGACGTACGCCTAGGCCTAGGCGGTACCTAGGCCGCCTAACTAGCGCCTAGCGCTTAGGCGGTATTTAGGTTGTCCACCTAGATTTTACAAGCATTTAGGGGAGCATTGTCTGTTTACGTGAATTGCACCCTGTAGGCCTTGATTGTGATTTTATGTGTCGTAGTCTACACGTCCTCCAAACTCCATTAACCTCCAAATATGAACACCTCCACTACCTCTCCGACCTTCAGCAAAACCTCATCGACCACCACTTAAATGAAGAAAGAAAAAAAACGCCCAGAAAACGCTTAGGCGTCCGCCTAGGCGACTAAGCGCTGGGTGCCAAGTCCGACGCCTAGAAGCGCCCAACGTGTAATGTAACATTGACATTTGTAGTTTCTTAGTAAAATGATAAAGCGCAGGAGTGATCGCACGGAGATGGGGAGGTTTATTAAGGAGTTTCCAGATCAGGAAACCCCTGAACAGGTTAGCATAGTCTTGGTTTAAGTTCTATAACTAGATTATTGAAATGTGGTTGGGTTGCAATATTTAATAGAAAAACATGCGGAAGCTTCGTTAGCATAGTGGAAATGGCGTGCTTGTGCTTTCTGGGTTTCTGCTGAGAAGGGAAAATGAAACTGAAGTTAAGTTGAATGGCCAGGAGAAACCATGTCGACTTTTGATGGGGGGCTAATTGCACATATAACCCCCTTATGTATACTTTGAGTAGGACTTATCATCTCTAAACTCTTGTTTTAGAGCCTTTCACCCCTGAAGTCATGAGCAGGTGGGGGGAACCTATACCTAATATCTCTATGAAAAGCAATCTTTTCGTGTGAGGACCATTTTAGGTCAGATTTCACGCGATTTGCTTTTGACACCTACTATCAGGATAGTCCGAACTCAATTATAAGTAGAGCTGAATTTATTAAATCTGGTCCGCTGAACTTACATGTTTCCGAGGCACTTGGGCAAAGCTGAGTAGCATCTACAATGACCACCATGAATATCCTTACCACCAGGCACCATGCCGTTGTAAGTCATGTTAGCATGTCACTGCTTGCAACTACCAACCATAGGCTACCATCCATGCACCAATTAACATTATCACCATGTGCAGGATCTCTATTATAAGTAATATGTCAGCAGCCCTGCATGGTTTAACACTATGGCCATGTCCACTGGTGTCATCAGAGTTTTATCTTACATGAAAATGCATACGTAACTGAACTTATAGAATTATAATCCAAACATACAGAACTGTCTTATATTGTTTTAGCGGAAGGACATACAATACAATTTTCATAGATACAACGTAATGGTTGAGATTGGAACTCAGTGCTCAACTAATTCTTCCTGTAAAGAAGAGTTTTAATATGTCAATATTATTCTGTACTTTTGTGTCTCTCAATGATTGTTTTTGTTTGATTTTTTTTTTGAATGATATTCTTCTTATTGGCCTTTGTTCATGCACACTGGCATCACTATGGGTTCTATAGAGAGAGACACTGAAGTATGTTCTATAAAAAAAATTTGTTGCACCTTTTTGTCTCTAGTTCTATTGGCATTACATAATTTTATCAATTAGTTGATATTCATGATCGACACAACACTGCAATATGTGGAGGCTTGTCCAGTTGATTGTTGAGCACCCCCAATACACTCAGCGTTACTCCTTCCCATCCCATGAGGAGGTATTGTTCCATCTTAGACATTTTGATGTCCTTTCACCTTTGTTATCATGAGTTAACGTTCCTTCTATCTTTTAAGCAACTCATGCAAGTTGCTGACTCGTAAACTTTTTCTTACCTTTCAAGTTTCAAGTAGAACTTGTTAGCTTGTTCAAGGTTACTGAAATAATGCCTGGCTTTGATATCAAGGATGGACTCACATAAGAGCTCATGGGTTACTTGCCCGCGTACAATTTTAGATCCTTCTTAGAAATTGACTACATTTTTAGTAGGTGCCTCCACAAAATTTTAAGAGGTGCACCCTATCCTTTGCTAAAAATATGGTTGAGTTGAAGCCACATGCTATGAACTTTCTGCAGCAAGCATGAAGAGCAGCTCTATGTATAGTAGACGTTGGGTGCATGCTAGTCTTCATATTTTCTTTTAATAACAAAGGCTAGTTGCTTTTAGAAATGAAGGCTTACTATTTTCATTCAAGATAATGATTATTTTTAGAGAGAACTACTTATGGACTTTGACTATTATAGTTATGGACTCTAGCTTTGATGAGCACATCTATTTTCCCTCCTCCTATTGGTTTTATTGATGGGTAAATTGGGGGTAAAATTGCTATAGATGGTGCTTTGCAGAACCTGGAACTTGTTATTGTTTTAATTTAAATCAATGCAAATAATAAACCAGTGAACTAGATAATGTACATTGAGAAAGACATTTGATGGTGTGGAAATGAATAAAAAAGGACAAATGTACCAAAGGATGTGACTACGTAGAGAACAATTATGAAAGATATTTGTTGAAATTTAGTAGTGTTTGTCAGCTTTTGTGATGAAAATGATTGCATATTGATATGAAAATGATAATGAAAAATACTATGTGTTGGGATCTTTGATTTTGCATGAATAAGTTATTCTATTGGTAAAACTTATATTATATTAGTTATCAGTTTATATATACGTATATGTGACCAGTGTTGCCATAGGTAAAAAGTTCGGGATCCGTCCCTCTTTGACATCATTGGAGGGATCTTAGCGGACTTGACGATACTAATTGTTTAGCTTCTGTCATGCAATTATACTTCTTTTTTATTTTAATATCTTATTCATAATTTCTTTACTATCTATCAGACATATAGAAAGATAGAAAAATGCTTTTTATACTTGAAAAAAAATTACCTTATTTAATGACCTGATTTGGCAGGACTGGATGATAGTGCCGTTGGGTAAAAATTTTAAGGCGATGTGTTCGCAAACTTTACTTTCTGTTGATTGTGAGATGGTTCTTTGCGAAGACGGTAGTGACACAGTAGTTAGAGTATGTGCTGCAGATGGAACTTGGAAGTATTGTATATAGAACTATTTTCTAAGATAATGTTATTTTCCAAATTTCCAATGTAAATGACTTCTACCCTGTTGAACATAGTGTTACAGAAATTTCGTTTACAGCATTTATAATTGCTTCCTTGGTTGATTAGGTTAGCATCCAGTTTGAATGTTCAGGTTAAACTTGATAAACTTGTAAAACCCAGTAAAGATGTTGTTGACTATAGAACAGATATTACTGGGATCTCTGCTAAAGATTTGGTGGGAGTTACTTGTTCATTAGATGAAGTACAGGTAATGCTAGTTTTTTGGGCTATCATTTACACTATACTTTCTTGTCCAATTTTTTATCTGTGTCTTTTTGCAGGAAAGTTTGAAGAAGTTGTTACCACATGGTACAATTTTAGTTGGTCACGCATTACATAATGATCTAAAAGGTATGCTGGATATAGATTTGCCTTTTACTGTTACTATGTAATGATCTAAAAGGTATGCTGGATATAGGTTTGCCTTTTAATGTTACTTTATTATTTGACTTTCCTGATTATTTTTCAAGCAGCATGTGAATTTTGAGTTAAGTGTACCTTTGAGACATTCTCCTGTTATAATTTTACTCTCATATATATAGCACTAAATATTGATTATCCATGGGTGATTGACACTGCATGCATCTTCGAGTTGAAGGACTTGCCTGCTACATATTCACTTTCATTGGCAATTTGTGTAAGACTTTCAGTCGATGCCCAAGTTCAAAACTATATAGTTTAAGGGTCGTTTAGATGCGTAATAGAAATAAAATAAGTAGTTTCCAATTTATGATAATCAATACGATAAAAGAAACTTAAAAAATATGATCGGAATTTTAATTCTAATGACACATGAAGCTGAAAATGAATGAAAAAACCCTAAAACCCTTCTACGTCGTCCAATCCTTGTTTATAAAACATGACTGGCCACAAACGCTCAGTCGATATTTCCTTAGAGATGAAGCAAAGGAGAAGGACAACAATGGTTTTTTTGGGGCTACAATTTTGCCCTAGATTCACTATCCGGTTTTTTTTTAAAATTTTATTTGGAACATTACAATTGGATAATCGAGATTGAATTTTGTATTCTCAGCCCAAATCCAAACAAGTAAGGTCTAAAAAACCAGCATATTGGCCCATATTTGGAGGCTAACATATTGGCTGATCAGGGCCGGCCCTGAGCTAGGGCCACCAGAGCTACAGCCCGGGACCCACAGCTGAGGGGAACACAATATTGTATCCATTTCTTTTGTTGCTACACAGCACTATCAAAGGCCATTTCCTTGGTTAAAATAAAAATAGCTACATCTCTTCCCCTGTTCTGCTTCGCTTACCGTTCTCCTTCCTTCTCCTCATATTACCTTTCTGTTCCTAACCTCCTTTGATACCTCGTCTTCCGATGTCAAACCATCTTAAATGGATATACATTCTCTTTCCACATGCTTTTCTCTAACTTCTAATGCACATTCATGTCCTTGATGTGGATAAATGGATAAATACTTCCAGTTGCTGCCATTCCTAAGCTGAAGCACGCTGTTGATGGTGCTCAGAGTGATGAGTCTGCATTCTTGCTGAATGATGCATATAAAAATGACGAACACGCTGTTGATGGTGCTCAGAGTGATGAGTCTGCATTCTTGCTGAATGATGCATATAAAAATGACGAACACTAGGGTTTCTTGCGCTCAAAGTGGCAAGTAGAAGGATATCTAAATATGCAGGTAGATTTGCTCGAGAAGTAAGTTTACAATTGAATTGTTTTAGAGATCAGATTGTTATCTAAGTTATGGTGCTGATTTCGGTTCTTTGTACTAGGTACACTAGTTCATTTCCCTTGAAATCATTCGATGATATTCTAAAGAAAATTGAAAAATTAGCTCCTGAACTGCATCGTATAAGTTATAAAGCTTGAATATGGAGGCTACAATTTTAAAGAAGTGTTATTTCACTATCTGTTTCAGTGTAAATCATTTTATGACTGGGATGCAGGTCCGGTATTTGCAATACTTGAATGGTCTTTATCGTGATGATTATCTTGCTGCTTTGGATAATCTTATGACATATAGAATTACCTCTGTATCTTATTTTTGTAAAGTTCACATCAAATTCAATGTTACAAAAGTAATATGGAAATTCATGCTAATGTTATTTTGAAAGTGCATACTGGAAATGAAGTTAATTATGTATTTCTCAAGTATATACAAAAGACACTTGATTTTAATTGAATTTAATTATGTATTTCTCAAGTATATACAAAAGAAGGAAATTTGATGCACAAGTCTGAAATGTTATTTTGAAAGTGCATACTTCTAAATACTTAACACAAATAATACTTCTAAGAAAAGTGATAGGGCCACAACCCCAACCACAAAGTGTTTTTCCTTGTCTTTTGTAAAATCTTATAATTTTAATAAAATTTATTTATTTGTATAAAGGGGCACACTTGAGAAAATTTGCCCTGGGCCTTAGAAAACCCAGGACCGGCTCTGTGGCTGATATGTTTGATATTTCCCGACATGTCCGATTTCCTCCCTTAAAACGTCATACTCCTTCAAAATCTTGATATTGTGGCGTTAGAGCTCGCAATTCGACATTTCAGCCACCATGTCTTGACATATCGGCTGCCACTTAAGACCTTGGATGTAAGAGTGAGAGAGAGACCATGATGCAATTGAAACTCTTGAAATTTGGGATTTGATAGTTTGATTGTAGCATAGGTGGCGACGGATGGTTATATTGGGATATGCGCTATCTAACTTTCCCGCTTATTTTAGAAATTTTGCAAGGACTTGGTTTTTTCCTTCTTGTGTTAGTTTATAAAAGACAGAAATTAATGAATTTTATAAGAGTAAAATACATGTAGATTAAAGAAAAGCTAAGTTTTTGTACATATATCTATACAATTATTTGTATAAATATATAAAAGAATTAGTAGAAGACATCAAGCTCAAATAATGAAGGTAAAACGATGATTCTCTATCAACAAATCATTTACTCCTTACTCTATCCATATTCATTATTCAATTATATAAATAAGATGAATTTACTTTTTACATTTAAAAAAAAGGCAAAAGCATGTTCATCCTATCACGTGTGTCACATGTTAGGTTGGTAGTAAATTTGAAAAGAAAATAAAAATCATAAAGTCTTCATTTATAAAGTTGGATTAGTGGATAAAAACTACATATATAGTCACTTAGTTGGTCTTTTTTTTTGTCCAAAAGAAAATTTAGGGTGTGTTAAACTTTGGGTTAAAATTTGGGCCAGAATTTCTAAACTAAATTGTTATGTTGAATAGCGCAGATCCCGATATCATCATCCATCGCTACTTGTGCTCAAGTAAGATTATCGAATTTTAAATTTATATGGAACATTGTGACCTTCACGTTCAACATGTCAGCCACTATTAAAAATCTTGGATGAGAGGGAGGGAAGGAGGGAGGGGGGAGCGGGAGAGACCTTGACGAAGTTGAAGCCTTAGAATTTTGGGATTTAGTACTTTTAGTTGAGCGAAGGTGATGATGGATGACGATATTGAGACCTGCACCATTTAACGTTCCCTCTTAGTTTAGAAATTATGGCCTAACTTTTAACTCATTCTATTTCTTTTGAACCCAAAGGGGGACCAACTAAGAAACCATGTGTGTAGTTTTTATCTATTTTGATCTAACTTCAAAAATGAAGACTTTATGGTTTTTATTTTTCTTTTAAAATTTACTATAAATCTAACATGTGCGATTACATGAGATAGGATGAACACATCTTTGCATTTTTTTTTAAATGTGAAAAATATTTTTTTCTTATTTATAGTATTTAATGGTTGATATGGAGAGAGTGATGAGTAAATGATTTTCTTAGGGAGAATTACCTTTATTATTTGTGCTTGATGTCTTCCACTAGTTTTCTTTTTATGTGTGTAAAGAAACTTAGTTTTTCTTTAATCTACATATATTTTAATTTTTTTTAAATTTATCAATTTTCTCTGTGTGTTTTATGGACTAATACATCAAAGAAAACCATGTAGTAGCAAATTTCAGCAAAGTGCATTTTCTTCCAATTTAGGTTTAGACGACAAACAATTTACTTGCATGTTGATTTTCTATAGAAAGCACAAGTTGTAATAACTACCTATGATAAACAAAGAACTAGAGAAATTTAAATGGATTAATTTTTAGAATCTTTTTACTAGTTGAAGTACACATTCATCAACAAACAAACAAAATGTAACTCAATACTCAGGATGAATATCCATGTAAAAGTTTACTAAATGTACTCCAATTTCTCTCGCAAACTGAGCTAATTGTCAAGCTCAAAATTCTCATCATCCTCCTCCTCAATTCGAGACTTTCTACCCTAAAAGCCTATACCATTTAACTAGTCAATTTAAAATAAAAAACAATTAGTAACTTATGAATTTCTAATAGAAATTGGTGAATTCATTTGAATGAAATTACAAATGTACCGAGATTAAGATCATGACTTTTTGCTTGGTTTTTGACGAGTCTTCTCCAAGCGACCCTCTAATGAGAGAGTTGAAATCTTATCTTACTAGAAATTTTACCATCTTCTTGATTGAATTTGTAAATACATTCAATAATATTATTTATAAAGCTTTTATCATTTTTCAATCTCCACAACAGATGGATAGAAGAAATAGGGATTCAAATAATATCTGATTCATATAGCGGCCCCTTGAGTTTGTCATCCCATTCTGATCAATCATCTTCCATATTTGGTAAATATTTCTTTTCTTCATTCTCAAGGGCCATTTTCTTCTCCTCCTTGACCAGCAACAAGTCTCCCTATACAAATCCTAGATGGGAACTTATGAAAGTCACTACCGGCAGAACCTTCACCAAGGGAGTAAACACTTTGGGGGCAATATCATCATTTCCCTAAGTTTATTGCTTCTTGTAATTTCAGCAAACAACAAACAACAAACAACACAAAAATGCAATCCATATTTTGTAGCTACTTAATAACTTTTAACATTAAAATGGACACCTTTTTGCCTGATTCCTTAGAAATAGACCACTCTCCATCCATTGGTTAGACATGAACATTTGCCTCAATTCTTTTTTCTTATCCCTCAATGACTGTAGCGATAGGAATGCAGTACCAAATCTAGTCCCCCTGGATGTTACTATTTCCTCCTTTGCAAATCTTCTTAGCAAGCTAAGAGACTGGTGTGACTGTAGATGTACATTGATATGGTTCTTCCCATCATAATTGCACTCTATATAGGTTTAATTTCGCTTATGTCACTAACATCAAAATTGATAGTGTGTGCTACACAAGTTGTGCATTGGCCTCTTTATTTTCATTAGTTTAATGGCTACCATGTTAGTTGAAGCTTCATCGATGATAATTTGTCCCACATTTCTGACCTTAACTCATCAATCGCCGTCCTTAAAAGCTGACGTATATAATTCGTATCATGCTTATAGCCGATGCTTTCTATGAAGCTAAAAAAGTTGTCCCTCCATGGAAATGTACTATGTTCAATATTCTCTTTTTCTTTCAGTCACTCCGAGCATTGGTCAATATAGAGCATGTTCTAACCGCACAAATTTTTAAAAAGTTTTCAACATTTTCTTTGTTTCATTCACCTCCCTTTGCAGATGGACTCTTTCAACTCATATGTTGTTCGAGCTTCGTGTAAAGCCTTCAAACTTTATAATAGCATGCACCATCTATTGGAAAGAAGGAAGTGTTGCGATATTGAAGTGATATTGGCTTCATAGAACCATCTCCCTATATATTTTGCCGCATCATCATTGCTACTAACTTGGCCAACTCCAAGGGAGAATTACTTGCAAAATAGTTCATTGACCATTTTGTCTTGAAAGAAGACAATGTACTTCGTTGAGGGGGTTATTCATTGGGTCATTTGAGGATAATTGGGATACATATGAAGATTGCATTTTATGGAATTATTCATTAGGGTAATGAGATTGAGACTTTTTACCTTTTGGTGTTGGTTTTTTGGAAATAGTACAGGGTGTTCATCCGAAGTTAAAGTTATTATACCAACTCTTTGAGACGTCACTTTAACCAATATAAAAAAATGTAGGCATCAATTTTAAGGTTCATCTCTAGTAACTCGGGCGACTCCTTGGGAGAATGACTTGCAAATGAGTCCATTGGCCATCTTGTATTGAAGGAAGTCGATGTGCTTCCCTGGGGTGGTTATTCATTGGGATATTTGGGGGATAATTGGGATAGTTTTGGGGTTTTACTTAATGATGTTATTCATTGAGATAATGAGACTGTGATTTTACCTTTTGGTGTTATTGGTTTTTCGGCCATAGTACAAGATCTATATATAGTTAAATTATTATATAACAGCTCTTAGAGATGTTGCTTTTATCAAGATAATAAAAAAATGTAGGCGCCAATTTTAAGGTTAATCTGCATGCCTTCTCTTGTTTGATGCTGCCTTGACCAATAGGCAATAATTCAGAAATGATTGGAAGTCTACATAAGTTTGCCATATTCTAGTAGATATTAAAGTTACATTCCATTCTTCATAACTGCCAAATACTCTGATGATGATATAATAAAATTCTACTTTATGCATGATCTGACTAGGCATCTAACTCCTTTTTTCTCTTTATACGGTCAATGCATCTTTACATTCAACCCTTATTTCCATTGCAGTCTGTGCTGTGTTATAAAATCAGTAAGGAAGGTGAACCACATAATTGCCTTATTGATGCACAAGCTTCAATGAGGTTAGTTCTTGCCAAGCTGGAGAATGGATTTGAGGATCCGATTGCTGTCGATGGAAAAGATATATGTTGGAACTAATAATAAACGTATCATACATGACTTATTTATGCATACATGACTTATTTATGCATCAATGACGTTTATTTTTCAGAATTTATATTAACTTTTCTTTAGGTGCTGGAGTTTGATCTAACAAAGCTGCTTCTTCACAAAGTATCAGTTGAAGTACCTTGTCAAGAACTGCAGGGTGTATTTTCTACGAAATATGAAATTGATATTCAGGTGGGCGCTTTATGCTCTCTAGTTTTGTAGATGAACAGAGAGTTGTGTAAGTTACAAACATTGTGTTAAAATGCTTTGTTTTGCAGGCTGATGTCAGAGTTCGAGGCCAATATTATTCTACCTTTGCTGTTTTTAAGGATGCAGAAAATGCATATTCCGCATTTAGAGGAATAGAAGGGCAAGAAATCATGGTATGTGCTGAAGACATGAACTCTTATTAAGTTTCCTAAGCCCAAAACCGTTCCAGAACAACACACTTTAATGGTGATTGAACTTTATTCTAAACCATTCTATGAAAAACTAAAAGAGTATTAGTCCAGGTGATGAAAGATCAAATCAATTGCCATATCTTTCTAGTTGAACAATATTCTGTGAAGATATTCCCTACCTATGAATCAATGGTAAACCTCCAGTACCAGCATGAATGTGATTGCAGTTCTCTTTGTAAGTCATTCGAGCAAAACAGACTCGCTATTAAGGGTAGAGGAAAGAAATAATAGAAAAAGAGTTTTAGAGTAGAGGTCTCCTTTGGTGCAGGGTCTGATTACCTACCCCACGTAGACACACATGATAGTGTCCACTTGGATACTATTAATAGTAGCAGATTGTAGTGTGCGTGCACGTGTGCGTGCTTGTGTTTGTATGGGGGGTGTGTGTGTCCTATGTGTGTATACAGATTTTAAATTCTGATATCCAGAGTTTAAATTTGTGTTGGTAGTGTCCATATTATTGGATGCTATTAATAATAACATGGTCAACACGCGCGCGCACGCACACACGTGTATATGTATATATGACATAAGTGTATATGTATATATAATATAAATGAATGGAAGATTATGATTTATATAGCCGACCCCAAAAACTTGTGTTAAAGGCTTTGTTCTTCTAGTTTTCGTATATATAGCCACACATATCCGGACACGCACACCGAAGCGTGCGCGCGCGTGCGCACACCATGGAGCAATGCACACAGCGTGCATGCGCACGAGCTGGACAAAAGATGGCAGCTTATTTTCCTAAATACCTACCAAGAAATAGACAAGTGACAAGACTGGTCCAAAATGGTTTTAATCCCGTTCTTTCTCCACTTTCAATGCAGGATTCTAGCGGACGTCTACAAAAGAACATCTTGCTTCGCTAAGTACAGGATGAAAGTTTACTTTCTATGTTCGCGGGGTGATATATACCAAAGAAAAGATTTGCTCCAGGACCAAAAAAGGCAAAGAATTGTCTCTGCAGCAATGTAGTTATCATGTAGAAGACATCGAGAAACTGGAGCAAAGCTTCGAGACAGAGATGATCACGCAAAAGAAATTGAGAAATTAAAGCCAGAGCTCCGAGATAGGAAAAAATATATCATAAAGTTTTAAGTAAATACCATAAAATTTCAGAAACAAAACATTACTAAATTATCATGAATTCTGAAATAAACTCACTAAAATCATGAACTATCATGGACTGTCGGAGACTATCATAAAGCTGCCATACAGTTTTCCGGTAGATATTTCTCTGTAATTTGAAACTTCTTAAAAAAAATTCAAATAACAATACTTTGTGATATTTTTTACGAAAAATACCATATAAACTATCAGAAAATTACCCGTAATTAAATTACATACATGAACTTTTATTTATGCTACACAAAACCACCTATGCTATGAATTTTCACATTTAATATAAATGTTCAAAAACCCAGTTGTGAGATAACAATTTCCCATGCTAATTATGTCAATACTTGTGACTAATTTAGTGTCAGTTACGTATGAATAATTTCTAAAATTAACTGAAAGTAATAAAGGATACAGCACAATTTTCAAAATCTCTTTTTTTATTATTCCTTTTTTTTATCCTTTTTCTTTCAGAATTCTTGGTTACTTCCTGCTTTCATAGACGGGCTTGGTTATCATGTAAACGTAAGCCAAAGAGCGAAACCGCCGCCTCTTTCTCCGTCTCCGCTCGCCGCCGTCTCCATCTTCATCTCGGTCTTCTTCTGTTCTCATCGCATCGTCCCTTTTGCTCACCGTCCCCTTCTCTTTCTTGATTTCTTCTTCTTCCGTCGGTTGAACAATCTGTCTCGTTGCCTGCGCATCTGGCTGGGTTGAAGCGTTGGCCATCGCAGAATACAAAGAAGATGAAATTTGGAGGAAACAAGTGTTGCCTCTCTGCTCTTTGTTCTTGGTTGTTAGTCGCATTAATCGTGTATATTTTATATGGGTTTGTGAACGCGGTATTTTGGAGACCGAGACAGCGAGGAAGTGGCTTGTTAGAGTTCTTCAAATAAGTGTGTTGCACGGGAGATTAGACCGAGTCCCCGTGAAAAGATGGTGGAATTCTAACTTCTTTAGTTTTTAAATATCTTTTACGGTATCGCTCACACTTTGCACTTGTACGCTCTCACTTTGTTTTTCATGGTATTTATATACCCTAAATTATATAAACTTGGCAATTTGCTACCCTATGTCGTGCAGACGTGAATTTTTTTTTTTAAAAAGGTTGATACCAAGAAATGCAATTTCGATGTCAAAAAGTCCAAAGTGGATAACAACTACCTTCCATCTCTCACAATTATAATATCTGTGTTTAAAAGGATTCAGAAGCTACATTGATATGACTCGAATTATCCCCCGTCAAAAGCTCCATTTGCTTCTTTTTTTTTTTTTTTTTTTTTCTTTTTTTTTTTTTTGTTTTTCATCAAGCATATAGAATCGAGCCCAATCGAAATCATGCATATTAGAACCAAGTAAAGCTTTAAATAGGAAACCTTAAAAGGTTCTTTTAGGTTCACCTATTTGGAATTCTGTATTATAAGCTGCCATTATATTGATCATTCACCAAAACTCGATACTCACATACCTAATTTACAACATTACAAGTAACTGAAAAAGACCAAACATACGTTTGGCAGAAAAACAGAGGCATGTTGGTCTGCCGATGCTCTCGCAGTAAAGATAATACCAACAACACAATTCCATTCCAGTTTTCTCCTTCTATGTTAGGAACACCAAAACAAAAAGAATGATGAAGAGAACCACCAAGAATAATATCATCATCAATTGTCCCTTTGCACTGGCTTTCTTCATGACCGTAGCCACTTTTTTCTGCTCAGGGGTGAAGTCAACATTTCAGAAGAAGTTTAAATGCAAATTAAAGAACTTAACACCCATTAGAAACTTTCACCTTATAGTTTTACTAATATAAATTGTCAGAATCAAAACTAGAATAAAAGGTTTGTCCGTTCGAAATCAAGATTATTAGCACTTTGTTCTTCATTCACATGAATAGTAACCATAATTGCAGGTAATAAAACAAAAGATGATAAAGCAAAATACATACCTGAATAAAGTCCAACCTATTTGACGTGGTTTCCATCTCCACGCTCAGGTCACCCAAAATTCTGTCCTGGGATATTGTTATAGAATGATATCATGCCAGATATTAGAAACAGTATATACATTTTGAGCAACAATATAATATGACTATTTAGCATAAAAGTGGTGGACCACTGTCAACAAGAAGTTTAAGGTCAAAATTGATATATAATCCCAAGTAGCACTTAACTCCCACAGATTCATTTGTTAACGGTACTGATTTATAAACACATTACCTGCCCACTAAGTTCTTCATGAATAGTAAGTCCTACACCTCCAATTCTCTGCACACTTGCGGTAAGCTCATCCAACTCGTCGTCTTGCTGCCTAAAGAATAAATTGGCTGGTATGAGAAAGATAAGATTTTCACCATAAGCATTTATTAAAGGGCTCAACATTATGCAGCACAAAGTAAATAAGATTGGATTAAAAGGTAACAAGGTTATTATTTAAATATATATGTATTTTAGCATATTTTCAAGCACGCTCTTGGCATACATCCAAAGCTAATGTCATGCAAAAGATCAATTAGCAACAAGAAATTAACTGCAAGAAAACATTCAATGGTTTTTTCTTTTTTTTTTGGGAATTGCAGCTAAGTTGTTATTTAATTCTTTTTTCAAAATATCATTGGTCCACATTTATGCTTTGGGCATTGTTTCTAAATCTTACTTCAAAGGGATACAACACAATTCATATCAGAGTGAAGAACTTTATAATATTATTTATTACTAATATTTAGCAACTACCTAAAAGAAAATAACTACAGCAATATAAAGGGAATATCATTAGCGTATGAAGCACATACCTTATAAGGAGCTGTTGGTGATCAGATTCTGAAGAGATGAAATCGTCATTGTCATTGGCAACATGGTGGCGCGATATGCCCGTCTGAGAAGTGTAATCATTTTGAAGCTTCATAAATTCTTGGCGTGATCCACTGACACCAGAACTTACTGAGCTAGTGTTTTGTCTTCCAGCTTCTACTGCTTTCCTCACACTGTTCACCTATACAAGTAGTAAACTCATCAGAGCCAACCCTTCCCAGTATAAACAAGAGCAATGATCAAGGTGAAAGATGAATAGTGCATAGAGAAGAATAATCTTCAACAAAATATTGATCTAAATAGGATCATCATATCGCAATAATTCATCTGAACATGGGCCAGCCATCACCCCTAATTTTCCTACAACCAAAAGAATTAAAGATTGTAGATGAAAAATGGAACTAAGGGTGGACACACTAATATGACATTTGCCCAATTATGATTGTGTATGTAAAAGAAATACCTGGTTATGCACTGTATTGCTCCATCTCCTACGTTTCTCAAGTTCGAGCTCATCAAGTCCATAGAAAGCTGGATCTTGTGCTGCCACTGAAATTGTCTTGCTCAGTTCATCCACCTTTCAATCACAAAGTTTAAAATGATCAGTGATGAAATATTGCTGACTGGAATAGAAGTTTTGTTAAGAATGAGTAGCTGATCGACAGCATCGACCAGAATTCAACAAAAAAAGAAGACAAATAAGAAAAAGGTTTCTGACTCCTACTAAGTAGTAAGTACCAACAGTCTTTGCTTCTTCAGCATAACATGGCTTTATTATGACTTGTCAATCAACTAAAGTTTATAGCGTAGATGGAGACCATCTAAAACTTCGTGGGATGGGAAAAAAGAAACAAAGAAGACACTTTAACCTTCCCTATGTGGTACCTGCCACTCGATGCTTTCACAGCTTGCAACAATCTCTTTAGTTAGATGAACATGCTCTCCGGTGTTCGATTGGGTTTGTTCCCATCGCCGAAAAGTAGCTTGCAGGTTATCAATCTGCTCAAGGAATCATATCAATTTAGTGTTGCATTGTGGAGAAGCATGACAAGATAAAGCATTCTTCCTCGCCTTTGCAATTAGTTGGGCCTGTCCCACTTGCAAAGGAATTTAATGCTCTCCAACACAGGCTATGAAGAAAATGATAAAAAAAATATAAACTAGTTCCTAGTAAAATTGCACATCCAAGGCAGCTAGAATCCAGATAGTGTTATGAAATATGCATTTTCGTGCAAAATGTGTATAGAGATACTTTTACATTGGAAGGAAGATTATATTTCTTGCATGAATGTCAAGTAACTTTTAAACGGCTGTGGATCATACAAACTAACTAGACATGAACTTGAGACTGTAACGGCAATAAATATCATTACACAGATTTATTTGCCAAGCAATGCAACAGCTTCAAACTTTGTGACGTATAAAATATTTATTTTATGTCAATGTTTATTTGCATGTAAAATAGAATATACAAAGTTCTTAAGTATGACATTCAAATCGTGTATGCCATACATTCAAATCGTGTCACATATATTATATCCAAGTCTGGGGATACATAACTCATTGGTTTATAATGCTAATCCTCTAAAGCACAATCAAATGAGGGTATTGTTTATGGTTCCTGATTCATTGGCTCTCCAATCCAATTCCTCTAAATCAGTAAGATCAAGATAACCATATGTTGTGAAATTAATCCAATATTAATGAGGACAAGAATGACAGCTTCCCAAATTTGTTATTTGACTTTTTTTTTAATTTTCAGTTTTAGTAGTTTGAATTCGAAATTTGAATTGTAGCCTAAATTTAGTAGTTATTCAGTTTTGGTATCTAATTGATTTGGAGAGATTTGAGTGATTTTAGAAGATTTCCAAACTGTATTTTCTTTTCTTTATAAGGGATTGCTGTAATCAGATTGAGATATTGAAGAATATTAAAAAATGAAAATTTGAGTTAATAGACTTTTGGTGTGAAACCTAGGTCATGGGTGTGAAACCCTAGGCCTGCCAAAAGAAATTATCCCTGTTCATTTTATTTTCTAGCCGTCCCTTTTGTTCTTTTTCTCTCTCTCCTCCAAGTAAATCTCAGCTGCTATTCATCTTCTTCTTCTTCCTCCAGCGCTCACAACCAGACCTACGCAAATCCACCGCGCCCAGCCAACCGCCACCCCATCTCCTCGTTCTCCACTTCGAACCCAACATCGATGTCCCCGAAATCCACCAGCCCCGCCTCTCTCCTCCCAGCAGCCGCCACAAACCCTGGTTCTAGGGTAGGAATTTTTTTTATTTTTTTATTTTTATTTTTAGATTAGTTGAGTCTTTTATTTGATATTAAAAAAAACGCATTCATCCCATTTAGCTGTTTGTGCACACCATTCATCTCATCTCATTGTTAGTGCATGACCACTCGCACAGATCTACCTTAGGTGAGTCAAGTCAATCAGTTAGTGAGTCCAGCATGTCTTTTGAATTCCTTAAGAAATTCGATGAGGCAAAAAAACAAATAGGTGTCGTAGCCCAGAGCTTAACAAATTTCCAGAATGAAACCAACGAAAGGTTTGCTAGGCTTGAAGGAGCGCGGGTTGCAACTCCGTCGCCACAAAGTCAAGGCTATGGATACCCACCGCAAGGTCATGGGTACGTCGTTCATCGACCCCCACCTCAACCAGTGTTTGATCCACCAACCTTTGACGGTAAGCTCGGCCCACAAACTTTCTTGAATTGGCTGAAGAACATGGATCGATACTTTGACTGGTATGCCATAACGGAACCACAAAAAGTCAAGTTTGCGGCAATGAAACTCACCGGACCAGCCTGCCAATATTGGTCCAAATTCGAAACATTAAGGTATATTAGTGGTGAGTTACCAATTTTAACTTGGCAAGAAATGACTGACGAACTAAAAAGGGAATACCTTCCACCAGTTAAAATTAATAAGTCACATATGACAGAATCAAAATCTATTCTTGAGAAAACCGTTAATCAGACCTTAGATTTGATAGAAATTAACTCTGCACAGGAATTCCAGTATAGTAAAATTAAAAATCCATGCACTTCCGTTCATTCTGAAACTACCTCTGTAATTGTGGAGTTCACTAAAGTTTCATGCAATGACAACACTCCGACTATTCCCCAAGCTACCCCTTTGATCACGGAGTCCACTGATGTTATCCCTGAAGTTGTTCTTGAAATCGAAACTCCAACTCTTTCTGAACCAACTCCAGTGATTGAAAACGCTGTTGATGTTCCCCACAGAGTCCTCCCGGACCAACATGATCCCCAACACGTTCCTGATATGGGTCCTAAAGCGATTCAATCGGATATCTGTATGGAAGTTGAATACCAAATTGAGCCTAGTGAAATAACTACCATATTAAATGTCAAACCCACATGCATTGTCCCGATAGTCACTCACACATACACTGATCCATTTTGGGAAAATATAGTGATTAAGGATTCGCAGGAGGCGGCACACGGGAGGCGGAGACGGAGGTTGGGGCGGTGCGGGGTTTGAAGGCCAGCGGGTTTGAAGAGGAGCAGGGATGTATTTGATGGGTTTTGTGACGTGAGATGAATGAGAGGGATGAACAGTAGTTGAAGTTCTCTTTTTTAATGTGAGGAGAGAGAATAACTGCGGCTGGGGAATGAAATGAACAGAGAAAAATATAATTTGTTTTGTCAGGGATTAGGTTTCACACCCGAACCCAAGCTTCACGCCACAGAGTTCAACCAAACAATTTTTTTTATTCATCAATGATTCACATCTGATTACAAGAGTTCTTAAATAAAGAAAATTACAGGATTGGAAAATTCTCCAAATCCCTCAAATCTCTCTCATAATCAAATACAATCAATTAACTAATTAGCTACCAAATAAATTCAAAATTCAAAATTTAAAATTTAAAATTTAAATCTAACAAAATAGAAAGTCTGCTCAATCCACTCTAGCTGCCGAATCTATCATCAATCAAATCAAAACCAGTTATTAGGAATCCAGTACAAAGCTGAAACACGGCGTCCCCTGCGTTGATAAACACGGTGAAAGTCTCGTGCACGTATCTGGATGTTCTCATCATAATATATCCCAATAACCTCACAAACCCCCTTGAGGTTTAAATGCTAGAACTATAGGGAAAATGCAACCCGAACTGATGAGGACAAGAATGACAGCTTCCAAATTTGTTATTTGATTTTTTTTAAAATTTTTAGTTTTAGTAGTTTGAATTCGAAATTTGAATTGTAGCCTAAATTTAGTAGTTATTCAGTTTTGGTATCTAATTGATTTGGAGAGATTTGAGTGATTTTAGAAGATTTCCAAACTGTATTTTCTTTTCTTTATAAGGGATTGCTGTAATCAGATTGAGATATTGAAGAATATTAAAAAATGAAAATTTGAGTTAATAGACTTTTGGTGTGAAACCTAGGTCATGGGTGTGAAACCCTAGGCCTGCCAAAAGAAATTATCCCTGTTCATTTTATTTTCTAGCCGTCCCTTTTGTTCTTTTTCTCTCTCTCCTCCAAGTAAATCTCAGCTGCTATTCATCTTCTTCTTCTTCCTCCAGCGCTCACAACCAGACCTACGCAAATCCACCGCGCCCAGCCAACCGCCACCCCATCTCCTCGTTCTCCACTTCGAACCCAACATCGATGTCCCCGAAATCCACCAGCCCCGCCTCTCTCCTCCCAGCAGCCGCCACAAACCCCCACTTGCTCCGCTCACACAGCCGTCGCCCTCGTCGTCGTCAACTCTGAGATCGCGGTCCCGTCGAGATCGCTGATTCCGATATTATGAATTTTGGCGAAACGGTGCGCGTTGTTTAAATTAGATCGCTGATTCTGATAGACCCCTCCCCCGTTTCGCATCATTTTTGGTATCAGAGCATGGTTCTAGGGTAGAAAATTTTTATTTTTAGATTAGTTGAGTCTTTTATTTGATATTAAAAAAAACGCATTCATCTCATTTAGCTGTTTGTGCACACCATTCATCTCATCTAATTGTTAGTGCATGGTCCTCCCGGACCAACATGATCCCCAACACGTTCCTGATATGGGTCCTAAAGCGATTCAATCGGATATCTATATGGAAGTTGAATACCAAATTGAGCCTAGTGAAATAACTACCATATTAGATGTCAAACCCACATGCATTGTCCCGATAGTCACTCATACATACACTGATCCATTTTGAGAAAATATAGTGATTAAGGATACAAGTTTGAGCACAAGTGTTTTTATTTCCTTTCTCCTTCATATTAAGCACACAAAAACACTCCTTCATGCATGTGTTTGCACGTTCCTCCTTATCACTGCAAAAATAGGAAATTTGTTATACATATTAATGAAGGAACACCTAATTATTCCATTTGATAGAGGACGTCATGCATTTTAGACACTTCGTTGAGTTTACATCTGTCATTGATCACCTCATTCGAGTCTGTATTTCATCATAATCATTTGAGTTGATTTACATCATTTTTATTTTGCATTGGTCATATATTGGGGAATCAGTAAGCTCGGCCCACAAACTTTCTTGAATTGGCTGAAGAACATGGATCGATACTTTGACTGGTATGCCATAACGGAACCACAAAAAGTCAAGTTTGCGGCAATGAAACTCACCGGACCAGCCTGCCAATATTGGTCCAAATTCGAAACATTAAGGTATAACTTGAATAAATACATTGTTAACTGAAATGAATGATATGGAGTCAGGACATAATTTAAAACTGTTAATGCTGATATATTAGATGGTTTGGACTTGTCCAAAACAGTTTCTTTATAGCTGTTTAAGATTTGACATGATATTTATGAGCTTTTCCAACTCTTAAAATAATTAATAGCAACATTTATATTATCGATTTGGTCATAGTTCTATTCTCAATATTGAGTGATTAAACAGTTCACAATGTTATTGACAGTCCACTGATATAAGCCTGACCCTATTTTCCCTTTCCCCCCCCCCCCACTTCTATATATATATTCACCCATGCAGCAGTGAATTTTGATAATATTTTAGATGGTGAATTTACAATGCAATCTAATTAATGATTTGAGATGCAGAAAAGTATTTGATGGCAGATTAAGATGCAGACAGACTATATTGAAGATTATAAACTTCTGCAGCTAACTCGACGGAGTCGAGTTTTCTCCCACCCGGGGAGAATAATGAGGACAAGAATGACAGCTTCCCAAATTTGTTATTTGACTTTTTTTTTAATTTTCAGTTTTAGTAGTTTGAATTCGAAATTTGAATTGTAGCCTAAATTTAGTAGTTATTCAGTTTTGGTATCTAATTGATTTGGAGAGATTTGAGTGATTTTAGAAGATTTCCAAACTGTATTTTCTTTTCTTTATAAGGGAGTGCTGTAATCAGATTGAGATATTGAAGAATATTAAAAAATGAAAATTTGAGTTAATAGACTTTTGGTGTGAAACCTAGGTCATGGGTGTGAAACCCTAGGCCTGCCAAAAGAAATTATCCCTGTTCATTTTATTTTCTAGCCGTCCCTTTTGTTCTTTTTCTCTCTCTCCTCCAAGTAAATCTCAGCTGCTATTCATCTTCTTCTTCTTCCTCCAGCGCTCACAACCAGACCCACGCAAATCCACCGCGCCCAGCCAACCGCCACCCCATCCTCGTTCTCCCCACTTCGAACCCAACATCGAAGTCAATCGCCACGTCGTCACGACCCCCGCGTTGTTCTTCAGCCGCCTTCAACCCACCGCCAAGCAGTCCGCCACCGTCTTCAGCTTCCTCTAACAAGCCGCCCTACTTCAGATCGTAGAAGTGCTGAAGAGATCATTCGGATCTGAACTATTTTGGAGCAGACCCGAACCTATTTAATTTGGGTCTGATTGCTTTGGTTCACACCCGAACCGGGTTTAGTTGGACCTGATTTCCAGTCCAGACCCAACTCGCACTTGTTCAGATCTGTTTGGATTCCAATTCGAACCTGATACGAAGGTTTTGTTTTCTCTTGACTCGGTATTTTCTGTTAATCTCATTTACTTAGTTAATTGCATGAGTATGTCACCTCTAAACTATTATCTTATATTCACTGCTTAGAGTATAATTGTGAGTTGAGAGAAACTGAACATGTGACTGCTAAATTTTGATATTGATTTTAAGAACTTGCGAAAATGATAATTGATATTGTGAATAAATTATTCGAGATTGGAATTGTTCATGATTATTATTGCAAATCTTGTTAAAACCCATCTATCGCATTAACTGTTTATTTAATTTCCTACCGAATATTATGAATTTTGGCGAAACGGTGCGCGTTGTTTAAATTAGATCGCTGATTCCGATAGACCCCTCCCCCGTTTCGCATCAAATATTTACTTCATCTGCCTCATATTTGCTATCCTTATATCCTACCGCACCTTTTCACATAAAAAACCATATGTTCCTTAAGGTTTCTTTAAAATTTATATTTTTT